GTGTAATTTCCCCCTTTTTCATACCTATACACCAAGGTTTTTGCTTCATAAAGACAGGTAAACACAAATGTACACTTGATGAGACAGATATATAAAGAGTAGTGTAATGTGAGAGTCACAATACCTAGGGAAAATATTGCTTCAGACTATATGTGTGAGGTTCTAAGCACTTAATCACATTGGGGTGTATTTATTAAAAATTCAACAGGAAATTCACCCAACCTTCATCTTTTTCTTTCAAGACTCGATTTTCACCATTCGCTTTATTTATTACAGTGGTTTTCATTGATTTTACAGAAGATTCACCCATTGAAACAATAAACAGGATTCTTTAACTGCAACAAACAAGATGCTTTACTGTGCCATACATCCTACCTAAAATACACTGGCTTTGACATTTAACTAAGACCTTGACCTTAACCGTGAAACTGACCTAGATTAAACCCTGATCTAGTTATTGTTTACTTTTTATTATTATTTTTTTTTACACACTTTTGTTTGTTTACATTTTTCTTCTTTGGCAAGGAGAAAAAAGATCCAATGTATCCTTCTTACCATTCAGAGGAGAAAATAGGACAGTGGTGGGCTGTAAAGTGATTGATCACTGTGCCAATCAGAGGCTATCACAGCAATCAGGTGAGAGCTCAGTCTCTGTGCTGGGAGCCGGCTGTGCAGTGTGCTCCCAGCACAAGCATACTTACGCACACTTGTGGCCTCATGGAAAAAGACCCACTTCAGTGAGGCCGCATATATGAGTACAGCAAGGGGTTAATGTGTTTTTTTCTTTTTATTATTATAATACAGTATTTATATTGCGCCAAAGGGTATGCTCAGCGCTGTACAATAGCAAGGGGGACAGAACATGAGACAAGACAGAAACAATACAATACATGAGGGGTTCGAGGGCCCTGCTCTTTCGAGCTTACAATCTAGGAGGGAGGGGAAAGTGGTACAGGAGGAAATGGCTGTGGGGGATGGAGTGGTGGCAGGAGTGGAGGAGGTCAGTTGTTAGGTGAGGGTGGGGTAGGCTTCCCTGAAGAGGTGGGTTTTCAGGGTGCGCCTGAAGGTGAGGAGGGTAGGTGACAGTCTGATGGATTGGGGGTAGGGAGTTCCAGAGGATGGGGGAAGTCCTGGAGAAATCCTGCAATCGTGCGTGGGAGGAGGAGACCAGGGAGCTAGAGAGTAGGAGGTCCTGTGAGGAGCGAATGGCACGGGTAGGGTAGTATTTGGGTATCAGGTCAGTTAGGTAGTTTGGGGCAACGTTGTGAAACTTTGTTTTTAATCCAGATTCAGCAATTTCATCATTTTGTTTTCTTACTGAAAGAAAAAAAAAAAAAGGCAGTACGTACCCACTCTTCCTCTGATCAAACCAGTCAAACACACAAGACTGGCAGGCTAGTATAAGCATAGCAAGGGAGCAGCCAGCATGCAATCTTATCCCCCACCCCCTGGCTATGCTGTTGAGAGCTTACATGACCTTCAGCATTGGGAGGGGGGATATTTTGAGGAATGTCCTTTGCTGGGAGTGATGTCTGCTATCAGTGTGAGACATCTTTAGACATTGGTGGATCCTAGAAAGATGAATATTGGTTAAAAGAGAACACTAAAAGTTTGTTGAGTGGTGTCTTTCTTTTACAACTTTCACTTACTTGAACACACTGGTGTACTGGTTAGGTCCTAAAGCCAGTTCATTGTGGAGAGGGTGACCACATACTTACCTTCTTTGGAGGGCAAATAGGTGGAACATGAGCACTAGGTGGAACATGAGCACCCTTTTTCGGACACCCCCTCTTGTGCACCAGAGGTGTTGAAGAGCTCTGTTCTAGACAGCATAAAGCTAGAGTCTCTGCTGAAGGGAAGGATCTGCCAATATATAATCTGACAATTTAGCACAGATAAGATCACCTTTACACATTTGAGCAGCACTGAAGGGAATTTGATAGCAAAGTCTCTCCAGAAAATATAATGATGTTACCATTGCATTATGCTGACAATGCAATATATGTAATTTTTAATATTGCATACCAGATTTGTACATGCCACTGTCTGGTCTGAACATGGCTTTCACTTCTTAGTGTAGGTATTCTGGGGCTGCCCTAAAATTAATTATGCAATTTCACAGAAAGCATTTTTTCCTGTTGCCCTGACTGATTTTGAAATATTGGGATAGTGTTATATTTCAAATGTCTCTTGTAAAAATGTCAAATTTATTGATATATATCTCCTCAGACCCAGTCTGACCTGACAGTATGGTCACTTTCTGAGTTAGTACCATCCACAGGCAGCTTAACTCTTCAATAAGACACATAAGTTGAATCCAACACAATTTTACTAGAGCTAATTTCAGTAAAGAGGATGTTTTACCAGTCTTTTGAAGTGTAAGAAGACATTGACTTTCCTAAACCCTGTCTCTGCAAAATACTAACACTGACTGGGGAACATGGAAGAAACATGGAGGGGTCTAGCTAAGTCTGAACTAACTAGCACTAAACTAAATGCAGTAGCAATCCAGAACCTCTGAAAGCACCTGTAAAAGAGGGATGTGCACGGCTGTGCTAACATTTACCGCATCAGATCACATGCTAAGGAACCAGTTCATAGGGGGCATGAAAGCTAGCCCAGTCAGGGGAACCCTGCAAGAGAGAATCAGGATATAACCCGCTGTCAGGAATGGACTAGCCAGCAATGGTGGGACTCACCTGCCTTTTGATCTGCAGTACCAGGGCTGGCCAGCGGATGCTCCCAGCAATCAGAGACTCAACTTTGCAGCCAGCTAACACCTGGAACTGATTATGCTGGGGTATTTAAGGGATGGCCAGACTTGCAGACTCTGCCTTGGTGTTGTGTTTCTCTTGGGCCCTGTATCCTGTTCCTGCTCTCTGTTCCTGTCTGATTCTCTGCTACCTGTTCTGATCCCTGGCTTGTCTGACCATCCCTCTGCCTGACCCTCTGTACTACGCTGCCTGCTACCTGTTCTGATCCCTGGCTTGTGACCCTGACCATCCCTCTGCCTGACTCTCTGTACTACGCTGCTAGCTACCTGCTGAACCTGGCCTGTGACCCCGACCAATCTCCGCTTGCTCCCCCTGTACTACCTGCCCAATTGATATTGACCCGGCCTGCCTGACGACGCTTGCTTGTATGTACTGTTATCTGTGGGTGGTTGGTTTGGTTTGTTTTGCACTATATTATGTTTAGTATTGCACTGCGTTTATGTTTGTATTGTTAGTGTTAATAAATTATATTGTTTATCACATATCTGAAGTCTGCGTTTCCCTGCGTCAGTCACACACCTCTGGTCACACCTGGGAGCCCTGACATTACACCAAGGCCAATCCTGACCAGAAGTGGCTGCACAGGGAAGCCATCTTGGCTTGTTGCTGGGAAGGATGGATCTGGATGAGGTTGTGTATTTATATCTGCTAGTGTTTGATGACAGGGAGTATGCTTATCAAACTCTGAAGGAGTATCCCAGGGATCAACTACTAGAATGTATACGGCTCGCTCATGTTCTAGTAGATCAGGGCACAGAGTTCTCTGAGGTGCAGCCTTTGATTGAGGTTTGTGCTGAGTTGGTTTCATCTGGTTCCCCCGAATGCAGGGATGAATTTTTGCCACCATTTAGTGCAGACCAGGTAGAGTCCCTGGTGTGGTTATTAGAGGATGATGTGGGTTACTTTCTGGAGCGTTATTCCACATGTTCACCACAGACACTAAGAGATTGTATAAACGCAGTGCAGTCATTGACCAGACAGGCTTTGTGTAAGCTCAGCTTTGTTCAACCCATACTGCAGACATGGACAGACTTGTTGCACCCAGCCTCAGTCAGATTACAAAAACCCAGTCCTGCTTCTAACTCTACTCCTGTATTCCCACCAGCTCCTCCAGTTACAGCCCAGTATACTTGGCTATCTACCGCATGTCAGTGCCCTGTTCCCACTCGCTGCACCTATCCTGACGACTCGGTGCCCGCAGTCTTGCCAGACGACTCGGTGCCCGCAGTCTTGCCAGACGACTCGGTGCCCGCTGTTCCGCCAGTTGACTCGATGCCCGCTGTTCCGCCAGTTGACTCGATGCCCGCTGTTCCGCCAGTTGACTCGGTGCCCGCAGTCTTGCCAGACGACTCGGTGCCCGCAGTCTTGCCAGACGACTCGGTGCCCGCAGTCTTGCCAGACGACTCGGTGCCCGCTGTTCCGCCAGTTGACTCGATGCCCGCAGTCTTGCCAGACGACTCGATGCCCGCAGTCTTGCCAGACGACTCGGTGCCCGCAGTCTTGCCAGACGACTCGGTGCCCGCAGTCTTGCCAGACGACTCGGTGCCCGCTGTTCCGCCAGTTGACTCGGTGCCCGCTGTTCCGCCAGTTGACTCGGTGCCCGCAGTCTTGCCAGACGACTCGGTGCCCGCAGTCTTGCCAGACGACTCGGTGCCCGCAGTCTTGCCAGACGACTCGGTGCCCGCAGTCTTGCCAGACGACTCGGTGCCCGCTGTTCCGCCAGTTGACTCGATGCCCGCAGTCTTTGCCAGACGACTCGGTGCCCGCAGTCTTGCCAGACGACTCGGTGCCCGCAGTCTTGCCAGACGACTCGGTGCCCGCAGTTGCTTGCCAGACGACTCGGTGCCCGCAGTTCCGCCAGTTGACTCGATGCCCGCTGTTCCGCCAGCTGTTCCGCCAGTTGACTCGGTGCCCGCAGTCTTGCCAGACGACTCGGTGCCCACTGTCGTGCCTGGTGACTCGGTGCCCGCCGCTTCGTCTGGGGGCCCGAGACCTGTCGCTCCACCTGGGGGTCCGGCGCCCGCCGCTCCGCCTGGGGGCCCGAGACCTGTCGCTCCGCCCTGGGGGCCCGAGACCTGTCGCTCCACCTGGGGGTCCGGCGCCCGCCGCTCCGCCTGAGGGCCCGAGACCTGTCGCTCCATCTGGGGGTCCGGCGCCCGCCGCTCCGCCTGGGGGCCCGAGACCTGCCGCTCCGCCTGGGGGCCCGAGACCTGTCGCTCCACCTGGGGGTCCGGCGCCCGCCGCTCCGCCTGAGGGCCCGAGACCTGTCGCTCCATCTGGGGGTCCGGCGCCCGCCGCTCCGCCTGGGGGCCCGAGACCTGTCGCTCCGCCTGGGGGCCCGAGACCTGTCGCTCCACCTGGGGGTCCGGCGCCCGCCGCTCCGCCTGAGGGCCCGAGACCTGTCGCTCCGCCTGGGGGTCCGGTGCCTGCTGCTCCGCCCGGGGGCCCGCTGCCTGCTGCTCCGCCCGGGGGCCCGGTGCCTGCTGCTCCGCCCGGGGGGCCGCTGCCTGCTGCTCCGCCCCGCCCGGGGGGCCCGGTGCCTGCTGCGCCGCCCGGGGGCCCGGTGCTGCTGCTCCGCCCGGGGGCCCGGTGCCTGCTGCTCCGCCCGGGGGCCCGGTGCCTGCTGCCCCGCCCGGGGGCCCGGTGCCTGCTGCTCCGCCCGGTGGCCCGCTGCCTGCTGCTTCGCCTGGTAATCCGATGTGCCTCTGCCCGGAGTCCTGCCCGATGTGCCTCTGCCCGGAGTCCTGCCCGATGTGCCTCTGCCCGGAGTCCTGCCCGATGTGCCTCTGCCCGGAGTCCAGCCCGATGTGCCTCTGCCCGGAGTCCAGCCCGATGTGCCTCTGCCCGGAGTCCAGCCCGATGTGCCTCTGCCCGGAGTCCAGCCCGATGTGCCTCTGCCCGGAGTCCAACCCGATGTGCCTCTGCCCGGAGTCCAGCCCGATGTGCCTCTGCCCGGAGTCCTGCCCGATGTGCCTCTGCCCGGAGTCCTGCCCGATGTGCCTCTGCCCGGAGTCCTGCCCGATGTGCCTCTGCCCGGTGTGCCTTTGCCCAATGTGCCTCTGCCCGGTGTGCCCCTGCCCGGTGTGCCGCTGCCCGGAGTCCTGCCCGGTGTGCCGCTGCCCGGAGTCCTGCCGGTGTGCCAGTCTTTGATATCCCGCCAGTTACCAGACCCGGGGCGGTGGAACATTTTGCCCAGCTAGGACTGTTTGGAGCGTCCTGAGGCCGCTCCTTGAGGGGGGGGGGTACTGTCAGGAATGGACTAGCCAGCAATGGTGGGACTCACCTGCCTTTTGATCTGCAGTACCAGGGCTGGCCAGCGGATGCTCCCAGCAATCAGAGACTCAACTTTGCAGCCAGCTAACACCTGGAACTGATTATGCTGGGGTATTTTAAGGGATGGCCAGACTTGCAGACTCTGCCTTGGTGTTGTGTTTCTCTTGGGCCCTGTATCCTGTTCCTGCTCTCTGTTCCTGTCTGATTCTCTGCTACCTGTTCTGATCCCTGGCTTGTCTGACCATCCCTCTGCCTGACCCTCTGTACTACGCTGCCTGCTACCTGTTCTGATCCCTGGCTTGTGACCCTGACCATCCCTCTGCCTGACCCTCTGTACTACGCTGCTAGCTACCTGCTGAACCTGGCCTGTGACCCCGACCAATCTCCGCTTGCTCCCCCTGTACCTACCTGCCCTATTGATATTGACCCGGCCTGCCTGACGACGCTTGCTTGTATGTACTGTTATCTGTGGGTGGTTGGTTTGGTTTGTTTGCACTATATTATGTTTAGTATTGCACTGCGTTTATGTTTGTATTGTTAGTGTTAATAAATTATATTGTTTATCACATATCTGAAGTCTGCGTTTCCCTGCGTCAGTCACACACCTCTGGTCACACCTGGGAGCCCTGACACCCGCCAACTCCTTTAATGACATTGTCGTTGACACAATTGCACGGGAGCAAGAAGATACGGAGGCGATGGTGGCAGTGACAAAAAAGTATGAATCTGTCTTTCTGAAGAAAAAGGCCTTGGCTCATTCACCCCTGTCAGCCCTACAAACAGCACTGAGAGAGCTAGCCCAAGATGTAGCCTCATTAAAGCAAGAAATGTCCTCCCTTAAACAGGAATTTCACCAATCCCATAGGGGTGAAAATCTGCTATTAAGAGACCCCGAGGAGGACTGGAAGTGCTGGCAGTGTGGTGTTTATGGACATATATCTAAGTACTGTGGGTGGTCTGAATTCAAAAACTCATCCAGGCTGTCGTTAAACTATTGGCTCCCAGGGCAGAGGGACAACCCCCGGGACTGGCAACACAAAGTCTGAGCAAGCCAGAGTCCTTGGTCGTGCCAAGTCCAGTAGTATCGGTCCTTGTCAATGACCAGGAGGTCCTAAGCCTGATTGACACCAGTTCAGAGGTCTTTGTGATGGAGTATGACTTTTACGCCCAGCGGTTCAGAGCAAAGGAACAACTGGACCCCTGCTGGCTGTTACTCAGAGTGGCCAATAATTTATCTATCCTGGTCGAAGGTATCACCTGGGTAAGGAATCAATTTAGGGCCAGGTGGTGGGGCGGGTGGGGGTAGTAGTGACCCATGGCCCAGGTAATTCAGCAGCACCTTTTGTGCTGGGCATGATTGTATTGAAACACTTGGACTTACCTCGCATACTAGCTAAGTTTGAACACTCCAGCCAGTGTACCCGGGGCTGTGGCCTGTGGGCGGTGTGGCTCAGAGTGTTCCAGGCCTACAAGGCCCAGCAGGGGTCATCTAGGGGACAGCAGGGGTGGTCCGAATGCCCCTCAAAGCAACAGTTACTCCTGGTGCCCTTTCAAGAGGTGCTGTGGTCGCTCTCGGTCGAGGTTCACAAGAAGCCAAAGGGAGCCACCAATATGGTTGAACCCTGCGAGGACTCTGTGGTGCCAGGGGGGTGGCTGGAGGGCCTTACCTTGTCCATAATTCACAAAGGAAAAGTCCTGGTACAGCTCATCAATCTTGGAACAACCATAATATCACTTCCTAGCCACACCACTATAGTGGATCTCTACGTGGTGCCCTACCACTGTATCTCAGAAACTCAACCAAGGGTGAAAGAAGTATGCATCCATTACAGGCATCCATGTCATCATTGGATGAGGTCCAATACAACTTACTGCTGGAATAGCTAAACATACCCTTCCAAGACTTCCTCCTGCTGCAGCAAAGACTACTCCATTGGTTGTTGGAGGAGCACTTGATAGTATTTGCCACAAGACCCAAAGACTTCAGGTGCACCAAAGCCATCAACCACCCAATCCACACCAGGGATAAATCACCTATTAAGGAATGGTACAGGTACATTATATATGTGACTTTTCTATGAGCAAATACATCAAATCAAAAAATAAACCAAAACTTATAAAAAATTTTAAAAATTTATATATAAAAAAAATTATGTCCAAAATCCCACCGTGTCCAAAAATAAAAATAAAAATAAAATAAAATCAAAAAGTCCCAAAAAATAATAATCCTCACAAGTGTAATACAAACACTCAAACTTTTTCTTCTTCTTTCATCATCAAAACCTTCTTAATACCCGCAAATCCTGATATTCATGCACCCTATAGCAGAGACAACAGGGCAGATTAACCACTCTGGGTTACAATCTCCTCTCATTGATTTCCTCCAACGATTATGATTTTCTCCTCCACTTTCCTCCAGAAAACCAGTCACAATATAAAAGGTATTCTTATTTATTAAAACTCACATAAATTTCGTGGTAACAGCTCCTCCTCACAAGCAGTATGCACATGGACAGGTTCAGGGAAACATAAACCGCATGTTCCCACTTCCAAGATGGCCGCGATCGCACTTCCGGTCAACGTCGATGCGTATGACATCACGTGTTTTGACGCGTTTCGTCACTTCCTTTGTGGACCAGACCAGCCAGGCCACACTCATACTTCTGAGACAGATGCTGTCGTAGCATCAGAACCTACTGCATTCTCAAGTTTCATGGAACTGTGAATGTTTTCCAGCGTGGCTCTCTCCCACTGGGTTCCCTGTATAATTAAAGTGTTATTAAACCCATGACACTGCATTCACTATATCTGGTCTTCCACATTACGCAGAACATGGAAATGCAATTATTTTAGTAAACATAAATTACTACATACTTTCTCATCAGCAGTATATAGCAGTTTTTTTTACTTCTACCAGTGTCCGGCTGAGCACTGGTTAATCTTCTGGGAGGAGTTTTCATTCTCTTCTGACTGTCCTATGAGGCTGCATAACCCCTGACACTCTGTCTGAACAGCTCTAATTGGCCCTGTGCCAATCACATGTACCCTCCAAAAAAAGCAATACACACCAAACAGAGCATGTGCAGACTTGCCACTGTTGCTCTGTACTATGACAGATGAATTGGGAGCAGTAAAAAAGTTGAGGATCAGAGAAGGCAGGATCAAACAGACTTTTTACACAAAGTGGACAATTATCCCCTTAGGTTTCACATTCAGTATAACAAACATGCTTTACTGCATATACAGACTGACTTTACTGTTGTGGGTTTAGCAGTACTTTAAGTCTTTCCTTTAATACTAGTTTTGTTAATTGCAACTGGACTCTGCCACACCACGTTGCACCCACCCACAAGCATCAAATCACGTCACAGTTCCTAATACCTATTCTTAAATATTTTTAGTATGATCCATAAGCTATACTAACTTACAAAAACCTGAACCAATCAAACCGCTTAAAAAATTGCTACAATACAAAGGAAAAACACTAGTATCAGTGGGGTGTGTTTCCCCAATAAATAGGATATGGAATATACTGTATATTGATATCTTTTAATGATGGGTCTGTACAGCCTTTAGGATATGTATGTTACTTTTTGGATGCTATCAACTGACATGAGTCTCCAAGGAGAATTATGACAATTGTTTGTTTCAAATGTCATGTCATGGTGAGGGAAGGCTAATGTGTTTATAAAGGGCATTTAACATAAAATGTATAAGAACATTTGAGTGCATAGTAGTGGTCAGGCTCAGAAACTAAAAACTCTGAATATTCCCAGACTCTTTTTTTTATATGCCAGCATATCGTCTAAAAGCAAATATATGTGTAATATAGAAAGAAACTCCATTTTATAATGCCGTAATTAATATTAATTTATAATAAATAGTATTGGATAGAATATATTATACTGTATTTTCATGTTTATCAGCATCACACATAAAAAATGTACCTGGTATAAATCTGGCCTCAATATATCCAAATCATTTTTTATGGCTAATTGGTATTTTTGCTTTTCCCACATTTCAAGCCACATTTCAAATTGTCCCATATCCAATGGAAATCACATGAGTCCAAAAATAGTATCCCATTAAATTATTGAGGAAGCACAATCCATAGATCTTTCCTGCAGCAAAAACAAAAATAGCTTTGGGAGTTACGTCATGCACAGGCAGACCTCATACACCATAAGCATTAATGTGACTCAGTTAAAGGATACAGCCCAAAGTGTTCTATTGTTGAATAATGATTTAGACTGCCAAATAGATTTTAGAATGTTTCCTGTGCACCAGCAGAACTTACTAATAACTAGCTTCCCAGTGAAGTATTCAGTTCCTACAGAGCAAAACCTGTCCTCAGCAATCACTTATTAATTCATAAGGGGTTTCCAATGATAACTCCTTAGAGCATAAACTACCTTCTTTAAAGTACACCTAGCATAAGAAAGGTGTAGCAACTAGCATTGCTGGCCTCCTACTGTAAATGCTAGCTTCCTGGCTGTGACTATCTTTAATACAGTTCCAGACTAGGGTTGCCATCTCATCCCTTTAAACCCAAACACATTAATTGCACAGGTTCTGAGGTATTGCAGGTA